ATATATATATATATAAGAAGTATTCATACAATATTTTATAAATTCATTAATATTCGAACATTCTGTAAAAATTTTTTTACTGTTCCGGAATATTCGACTTATTGAATACATAAATCGAACTTTTCATGAATAATTAGCTTTAGTTGGATTCATTGCATATCGATCATTTCAAATGATTTTCATCGAAAAGAATGGTTCTGCTGAAGTACATAAAAATTAAGTAATAATTAGATTAGATAAAGATCTGAAAATAATTATTGGACTATCAGAATAATTATGTAAGACCCTCAAGCATAATAATGCTGTAAAATATTTTGACATTTTAGTAACGGACTTGAGCGTCCAATATAATTATTTAGATGGTCAAACATAATTCTTTTTACGTATTATATAGCAAAACCATTCTTTTTGCGTATGATGTGTTTGCTCGACAAATATACAGATGCGCAACTGCGTGTAATAAATGGTAGCATTAATATTTCATCAGATTGATTAAAAATTTAATATTTCTGTAGAGAAAGAAAGTGAACGAAACAACCAATAATCGTTTATTTTTATTTTTCAATCCCGAAGAGAGAGAGAGAGAGAGAGAGAGAGAGAGAGAGAGAAATTAAAATGAATGAGTTCTAATTAGATATATTAGGTCTGTTTTTTATTTCTGCACTAAACTGCTCTTTCTCGAAGTAAATTTTTGCAATGTATTTGCTGTATTTATTGTTGTATTTATTGTTGCAATGTATTTATTGTTGAATGGAAAACATATCATCTGAGGATGATTTAACGTGAAAAAGATCGTATGGACACTAAATAAAACTTCCTTTGAGATTTTTATTCCATTATTTGCTTATAAGAGACTGATCTGTCTATCGAGTAATATCCCAGATCGAATGGGAGTTCTCAATAATTTAAAGTGTCAGCAGCGGGATGCAATATGGACAAGGTCGATTTAATGGGTACTATTAAAGTATAGATCCCGATAAAATCTTGCAAAAAACGTAAACATATGCGATAAAGATAGTGTCTCAGCGCACAATGAAAACTTGGCAACATATATGATAGCATACATTTATATGTATATGTACATGCAAATAGATATTTTCTGTTTCTCTCTCTCTCTCACACACACACGCGCGCGCACGCACATACACAGAGCGAAGTTACGAATATAAGTATCTTTCTCTTGAACATTGATGAAATTTCATCAAATTTCTTTCATCTTTTTCGACATTATATTTCGAGAGTTTTTATACATAAAATTAAATTTCATTTATTTCTTCAACTTGCTAGAATTGCCATATTAAAAGTTTACCGGATATTTTTCTTTGAAATCAAAATTTAAACAGATAAAACCGGACAGAATTAGTAATAATAAAATTAAAGTAATATGCACTTTAGGGGAACCCGATCACTTTGATCTTAACATATGTTATCAAGATGTTATCATGATTTTTAACAGACCAGTTACTTTTAACAGTAACTTTTAACAGTTTTAACAAGCGCTCGTTTTTTTTTTAAATTAATAAGAAATAAAATTTATAACACCAACGTTTCGTGAACCTTGCTGTTCACTTCATCAAGGCGAGGAGCGCACTGATACTGAACCGTTCCTCTGGAGGACTCCGTTTATATAAACTCTGTTAAGAGGAGAATGGTGGGGCGTTAGCTCCGGGGCAGGGTTCTTAGATATTAATAGAAAAAGAAGAAACAAGAAGAAGACGGCTATGTCCGCCGCAATGCGACGCCATGCATTTTTTCATCTTTGAATTCAATTTTTTATGTATTCTTGACATGTAATTTTAAGCACTCGGAATTCTTTTAAAAATTACAAAAAATGAATAATATTGATTTTATCTTTCACGAACACAACAAAAACAGATCTTTTCGAACATGCGTCTTTTTAATAAAAAAAAATTTAGTATGCTATAATATTTTAATAACATATTATTTCTGATTTCTAATTAAATCACAGAATATTATATTCTTTCTCATACGATTACAAGTCATCAACATCATCATTTTCTATTTCTTCTAAATTTTCGTCTAAATCGGAGTCAAAAATTTCAGATGATGCATTTATTAATTCTTCCGAATTTGTATTCATGTCTGGTAAAGTAATTTCCTCTGATGATGTCTAGAAAAATAATAAATTCATTTTTATTAATAAAGTTTTATTTCATTCACAATACAAAACAAAATAAATTAAAATCTAAAATGATAAAAACCTGCGAAAAAATTTCCTGGCCGTCTAAATTCTTATTGACAAGATTTCCCATCCAAAATGCTGCTGCACTATCATTAAGGACCAACATTCCTTTGACACTATAAACTAATTTCTCTAATGTAGATTTTGCTGTAGGCACATATTTAAACAATAGTAAATTCCTTTTTTCTGTGCAGTCGCAACATATGGCATGTAAGTATCGTGTACCACCTAAACATGACATGTATGAATAAATTAGAAAACTAATCTTTTTACTTATTTTCTGTTATTAGGAGCTGCGATCGATTTGAATGTGCTCACGCACTGTAAATTTCATTCTATCTTTATCGTACACATGTAAAAAAAAATAGAATGAAACTTATAGCGTATGAGCGTCCAAATGCAGCCAGGAGGTTTTCTATTGTAGAATGTTTTATAATTTAAGATTTCAACTTAACTGAAAGATTTTTTTGATAAATTTAGAAACAATTATTTCAATAAAAATATTCAGATAATAATTTTTTATAACTACAAAACGATTGAAAACGAAAAGTTTTTTATGAATTAGATAAATAGATTAGCTATCACAATTAAAATATATCTGCTACTTTAGATGCTTACAACTTTAATAAAAAAATACAAAACTCATTTGAGCAAAAAACTTTGTCTATTTTAGGCCTCTTACGACTAATAACAAATTGTATACTCAGGATATTTACTGAAATCCTATAAAAAAATTCTCAAATTTTTTCTAAATATTTTTCTGAAACTTCTAGATAAGATTAAAGAATTTTTTTATATAATTTTTTTATATAATTTTGAAACAAATTTGAATGTAAGCAAACAAACTAGATATTGTAAACTAGTAGGAAATAAAGTATTAATCATTTTCTATGATTGGAGTCGCGAAAAGTTATTGTGTAATGTTCGATTTACGTACCTCGATTGAATTCTTGCTTATAATGAACAAAGAATTTTTAATAACATTATAACTAATACCTTGGACATTGAGAAAAAAAATTATTAATATATTTTCTAATGTTTCAAAGAATATCTCTAAATAGTATCTCTAAATAAATAGTAACTTAAAAAATTTTATGGAACATTTTGATTTTTTAACAATAATCTTTCATTTTAGCTAAATTCCGTTACTAGCCGCAAGGAACTCAGAATTCATATAAAGATGGGCAAATTTCTTTATAACAATAAATTTTTGTTTACATTTCCATGATAATAAGGAAACATTGATTCTAAATTTATCAAATAATCTATTAAAACGAAATTATGTTTTTATGGAATTATTCCATAATTCTTATCAATAAAAATAATTATTCCTTACTTTGCATCATTTTTAAAATACTAGTTACATCATCTGTTTGATACTTCAGATTATATTCAAATATTGGTATACCAATATTTAGAAATTGTTTTATTAACATTGGCATGTAACGCAAAAATAGTTGTATGATAGTATTTGTTTTCAAAGTTTTACAAATTTGCACAAGTTTTTGAACATTTAAAGTAATATTGTGCCATATCTTTATTCTTTTTGGATCTCTAAAACAAAAGGTTTGCTCAACAAATTTTAAAAGAACTTATATGTGTATTCATATTAATAAATCCTTAAAAATAATTCTATATAAAACAATAATGATATAATAATAGTATAAAATTCGTTGAACATTTTTTAAAATGAATTTGACTTCTACATTTTGAAGAAATAAAATAATACTTACGAGTTGACCGCTAATAATGATATGTTTATACCTTTAATTAAACCGTCAAATAATTTTTTATATAACAAATTAAAAATATTTCTTTTCACAGAAGGTATTCTTGTCAAAGAGCTTTGAATATTTTCAAAATTACTGACTTCATCTGGTAACCATTCTAAAACTGATGTTACTGTATCTAATGGCGACGGTTCATTATCTATCCAATTATTTAATAACTGAATAACAAATAATCTATATTGAGAACCAGTGTGCTTGTCTTCGGGCCATTCCAAGCAAAGAAATCCATGTGCTAATTTTGCTGAAATCCATAATATAATGAAAAAATTTGCAAAATTTCAACATTTATCAAATACTTATACCATTTACCATGTTTACTCTTATGTTCTTGGATATAAGTCTCAGAATGTTTCATTAATGATTGGCACATATTGACAAGAGCAGTAGCTAATGCTATTTCGGTAGCAATATCCGTTAACGATTCAAAATATTTGTATGATTCTGCAACAAGTTCCTTACAAGATCGCAATGAAGTATTTTCTTCATTGACTTGTTTAGCTAAACTACGTAATCCCTCTGAAAAATCAATAAAATATGAGTAATATATATCTATATATTAGATACTTAATTCTTGTAATTAGTCAACAATAATAACGCACCGCGTAACAATGTATTGTATGTTACACTCGAAAATCCTTTCCAATTAAAAATACTGGTGAGGAGGTGCAATAATAATTTTGCACCTTTTCGAAAATTATAATTGTCATCTTGTCTTAATTTGCTGACAACATCGTCCAATTTTGAGCAAATATTTGGTAATAAGTATATTAAATCTTTCACAAAGTTCTCAGAAGGTTCACTTTCGAATATTGCCAAAAGTTCTTTTAAAATAAAACATACTTGTTTCATGGATATGCCTTGTGTCTCAGATTGCGATGTCTGCATGTCTATTTTAATATCCAAAAGGCAGGCTATCTAAATATCATTACATAGTATTTTCAAATATGATCAGTACTCGTAATAATAATTTAAAAATTATGTATCTCACTTAGATATTTTTCTAATTGCAAATCGAATATATATGTAATAAAAATATCAATACGAGCAAACACTAGAAAGCAATATACAAGTTTCTATTGCTTTAAAGAATAAATAGATGAAGAAAATATAAACGTTTTAATTTTTTGTTTTGGATCTTTTTCAGTAAAATCTCAATTACTTGTATCAAGTTTACTGTTGTTATTCTATTTCTGATAATATAATACAACAATAATCACTTATAAACTCCATAAAAATTTTCATTACTTGGATTTTTTCTGCATACTTGAGATTTATTAAAAATAGAAGTGAATAAAATAGTCATATATAAGTTACAAACTATTTTTGATACCTTTGCGTCAAATTTTCTGAAATATGCTGGATTTTTAGAATACAATATAGAATCTATCTCCTCTTCATCCTTCATCGTCACAAAAGTGTTTATTTTCTTTTCTTTTGTAGGTTTCTTTCCTTTTTTACTAATTTTCTTTTCAATTTTTACAAACGGCGGCAATGGATAATAATGAAAATAACATGGTGGTGGTTGATATTTAATGTCACATAATGGTAGCAATATATTAAATTCACTTTGCAAATATATTAAAATATCTAAACGTTTTAATACTTGTCCTCGCAGTAAAGGATCAGTTTGCGTGACAAAGCCTGAAATTATTTCTCTAAACCTGTAACATTTCCCTTACAGTTATTTACAATCTTAGCTGAACTTAAAAAATAGATACATAGAAATTATGTGCATATTATTGCAACATAAAAAAAGATTTAATTAAATACTTACCAATTAATACCACATACAATAAGATCTAATGTTGAACATTCTGGTACATCAAAATTTTCTGGCATTAACATTTCGCACCCCAAAAGAGCATCTATATCCTCTAAATCTCCATGTTCACTAAGTCTCATACAACACGTCTTAAGAAGTCGAAATAGTATGGATGCAATTGGACCATTTCTTTTATCTCCAAAATTTAATATGCAGTTTTGGGGTGCAAATTGCTCATTTTCTGCATTATTTAGTCCAAATTTAGGTACTAGAACTTCCCTGATAAAAAATTATGTATTTTTATTTAGATCTGTGTTTCTTTTATATTTTATAATTAAATATCATCATTACAATTTTCACATGATTAATCAACCAAGATTAGCACCTTTTTTCCCTACTAACTGAACAATCTTTGAACATTTTTGTTTTAAATTTAAAGATTTTGAGGAAATCTTTAAATTGGCTGAATAAATTAAATGGTCCACACTGTACACATATACTTTATATAATGTATATAGTATATAATATTGCACAACGTATTTACCTGGTTTGTACTTTATCTGTCATATATGTATTAACAAACTCATTTTCAATGTAGCTGTTTATCTTTTCGATGAAAACAATATTGATATGTTCAGTTTGTTCAATTACTTGTGTTAGTTGATCATAGAACAAAGACTGCGATTTATAACAACTTTTTACGTTTTTCATTACCTTATCTGTATAAAATATTTCTATTAAAAGTTAATAAATTTTTCATTACTATATTAATTGTTACATAACAATTTATGAAAGAAATATTCATCAAAGAACATTAAACTTTATCATGAATCCATTTTTGAGATTTATATACTGCGATTTATATACTGCGTGTGTGCGCATGTATATACAATTTTTTAAATTGCATAAAATAAACGTACTAAATAACTTCAGAGCTTGATCGCATGTTTCAGCTTTTCCTGCTAAATGTTTTATTGCCATTACTGCTCCCATAACACCTTTACATTTTGTACTGAAATGTGTAATCCAATATGTACATTACAAAAACTTTAAATATTATTTTTAATTAATAATATTTTTAAATATTATTCTAATTAATTTTATACTTGGCTTACACTGGTTTCGCAATAGATAACTGTTTTTGCAACAATATAAACAAGTCATCTCGTAAAGATTCTGAAGTGGAATTATCAGTTAGACATAATCCATGCAACAAATCACTCAAAGTGCCAACTTCTTCTAGTCCAAAGCAATCGACTTTTTCTAATAAAATTCTCAAATGATTACAATGTGATATTAAACAATCTCTTTCTATTGTATTCTCTGCCATTTTGCAAAGTACAGTCAGTGCATGTTTCACAGTTTGATCATTATTACCCATGAGAAGAATGATATTTTTTATTATCTCACGTTGCTTAAACGATGTTTCTTTTTGACTGAGAAACTGTAATCGGAACCATTCTATTGCAAAAATAATAAACACACGTTCTTCGGATTTTAATAGTTTACTCGCTAATTGTAACATTGGTATCTGTAATTCACGAACAAC